TTCCCGCCAGCCACTCTGCTGGCCGCCTGCCACTACTCCTACTGGCCACCTGCCGGTCGCTCCTACCATCTGCTCCACTGGCTGCAATGGGTCTGGCTCCAGACCAAACCAGTGACTTTAGCTCTTAGCGATTTCAACTCTTTAGCCAGCACCTAGGCTGGCAAAACATTCCAGCTTCCACTGGACTAGCAAAAAGACTCCTAATGGAGTCTGCTTTGGGTCTATCCTTAGACCAAGGGAGGAAAAGGCAGGTTGAACGCTCCTACCATCTGCTCCACTGGCTGCAATGGGTCTGGCTCCAGACCAAACCAGTGACTTTAGCTCTTAGCGATTTCAACTCTTTAGCCAGCACCTAGGCTGGCAAAACATTCCAGCTTCCACTGGACTAGCAAAAAGACTCCTAATGGAGTCTGCTTTGGGTCTATCCTTAGACCAAGGGAGGAAAAGGCAGGTTGAACCAGTCTTACAGCTGACACCTGGCAAGCATGAAGCCAGCTGGCTCAAGCCCTTTCCCCCCAACTTCACTCACTCAACTCTGGAATGGGGAGGCTTGTTCATCTGAGACACCATCATGATGGTGTCTCTCCTGCAAGCACTGGTGTCATATTTTACAGTTCCCACATTAAGGGGTAGCATGATTTGTGACCCCCACAACAGCCCAAATTAGTTATAATATATCACATTCCATTCTAACAACCGATCTTCCATCAGCCCTGGAAGAATTGGACTTACATAACCGCACCTCGGATTCCTTCCCCATTCTGGCATGAGCTGTATTTATATATCAACAGTTAATTATCTTGCAGAGCTAACCCAGTTGAGTGAGCATACCCACCCGCAGGGCAGCTCTCTCCTTTTAGCTGGCTGATAGCAAGCAGTAGTTCAGCCCCTGCTTACAACTGGTTAACCGTTAACCTGCCCTTTCTGGTGAACTCTGGCCATTGCCAGCCAGGACCATCGGGGGCAGCCACAGCCATGGAAGGGCTGTTGGTCGAGGCGCCAGGATCGCATGACGGTGGCGGGGCCAGAGAGCAGTCTGGGCGACAGGCCCGGAGTTAAAATGGTTAATCAGTTAACCATTTTAACATCCCTAGGTTATTTGCCTGCCCTTCCTGACCACCACACAGTTGGTTTGCCTGCCCCACCCCCAACCCCGGTTAGTTTGCTGTGGTGCCAGCCCCGCCTCTCCTAGCAGTTGCCTTCCTCTTGCCCAACCGTCTCATTGCTTGTGTATGTTCCCCAAACTCCCATTACCCCCTGCCTACTGCCTTTGTCCCCTCCCTGAGCGCTCATGTCCCTTTTTAGTGATCCCCCATTCACTGCACTCCCCTTGATATTTTCATAGTCCTCCCCATCCCAGTGAAGCTAGAGGAACCAGCAGCTCCGCCCTGTGCCTGTGGCCTCGCCCCTTCTCCTGTCTCATTGGCACCCTCCTCCTTTGCCTTCAGTCTAGCAGGGAGGAGTGCTTCCTGCTCCCTTCTCCTCAGTTGCCCCAGCTCGGTGCCCTCTTCCCCTGCCTCCAGTCTAGTGTGGAGGAGTGGGCAGCCCATTCCCCTTTCTCCGCCCACCACTCTCTCTATTGACACCCCTTTCCCCGCCTGCTGCTTGGCGGGGAATGGCTGACCCTCATTCCCCTTCCCCTCTAACAAGTGCGTCCTTCAGTGACGGAGGAGGTCCCTGCCCTTTCCCCTCATGACCCCACAATCCCGGCATTGCCACCGGCTCCTGAGGCTGATCTCCCGACCCCCGGCCCGGCCTTTGCCACTGCCATGGCTGACGCTCTCCCCGACTGTGAGGGAGCACCCTCCTTGGCCAGTAAAAGGCCCCACCTGGGAGGCCAAACTTCCCACAGCTGAGGTCTCCCTGCCCACCATGGTCCCAATACCTGCCATAGCCCCACCTTCCTCTGCCATTCCCTCCACCAGCTCTAGGGGGGTGTCCTACCCACAGCCCCCAGAACATTCACCCAGATGGCCACTGCCCTCCGCATGCCTCCAGCCCAACGACCATCTCCAGTTGCACCTCTGGCAGCTGGTGCCTGTTCTGCCACTCCGCTGCAGGGCTGGAGCACACAAAATCTCACTTGTGTGTGGCCTCCAACTGATTTTTCTGTGGGTCAGTGGATCCCAACCCCCCCAAAATTCCCTACCCCAGTCTTACAGAGACCAGCCACTTGAAGAAGACAGAGGACATCACTGAACCACTTACATACTCCCGCCAAAACATCCTTTGGTTTAGGAGCAGCACTGGACTAGGGACTAGCAGTTCCAGTGTCACCTCTGCCAGCAGCTGGCACTAGTAATTCTCTGCACTTCACACCAATTAATACTGAGCTAGGCCTTGTGCCCCTATGCTGGAAGGAAGCAAAGTATCATTAACCCTCTTTTGGAGATGGGAGAGCTGAAGTCCACAGGAGATACAAGCTCACTTCTGGTTCTGCTGGGAATAGAACCCCGGTCTCTCCCTTGTGAGTATACAGTACGACTATCTTTAATGACGTGATCACATGCTATTTGTTCTACCTCATTCAGTGCCCAGGAGGGATGGTATGAGGCAAGGTTAGATTGCAAGCTCCTTAAAGTTGCCCAGCAAATGATCAATGATCCTGGTCGATGCATAGAATTTCCAGGCACTGCCACAATACAAATAAAAATTAATAATAATAATGACTCTTCTCTCATGTTAAGGCATTGGTCTAGAACCAAAGACACATGAATTCTAGTCAGCCAGGTGCTGTGGGGTATGGCTCAGTTATGAACATGCTCATACAAAGTGGGGCAGGGTAACTGATGTATGGAGCAACTATACATACAAAATGATGGGAACTAAATTAGCTGCTACCACTTAAGAGAGATCTTGGCATCATTGTGGATAGTTCTCTGAAACCATCCACTCAATGTGCAGCGGCAGTCAAAAAAAGCAAACAGAATGTTAGGAATCATTTAAAAAGGGGATAGCAAATAAGACAGAGAATAACATATTGCCTCTATAAATCCATGGTACACCTACATCTTGAATACTGCATGCCTTATCTCAAAACAGATTTCTAGGCAATCGAAAAAGTTCAGAAGAGAGCAACAAATATGATTGGGGGTTGGAATGGCTACCCTATGAGGAGAGATTAATAAAACTGGGATTTTTCATTTTAGAAAAGAGGAGATTAAGAAGGGATATGCTAGAGGTCTAGAAAATCATGACTGGTATGGAGAAAGATAAGGAAAAGTTATTTACTTGTTTCCATAACACAAGAAATAGGGTCAAATTAATAGGTAGCAGGTTTAAAACAAATAAAAGGGAGTATTTCTTCACAAAATGCACAATCAACCTGTGGAACTCCCTGCCAGAGGATGTTGTGAAGAGCAGGACTTTAACAGGGTTCTAAAAAGAACTAGAAAAATTCATGGAGGATAGGCCCATCAAAGGCTATTAGCCAAGATGGCTAGGAATGGAGTCCTTAGCTTCTGTTTTTCAGAAGCTGGGAATGGGTGACAGGGGAGGGATCACTGGATGATTACCTATTCTTTTCATTCCCTCTGAGGAACCTGGCATTGGTGACTTTCAGAAGACAGGACACTGGGTTAATGGACCTTTCTTATGTTTTCATTTAACTTTAATTCTGGCACGTCCTAACAAGTGTTTGCCTTTGCAACATTAGCATTCTTCTGACATAGATTTTTGGATGTAACATCATCAAGACTCCCAATTAATAGTGATAATGTGAATGAAAGAGTTAAATGCTTACCTAGAATTTCACTGTAATACAAATCCCATTCTCTCCAGTACCTCTGAAAAACGTAGTCCTGGAGGCGGTAAGACACTATGTTTTTTATTCTTTCGCGGAACAACAACTTGTCTGTGAGTTCAGACAAGGCTGCAGGCACGTACGAAGGTGGAGCGGGCATCTTCCCACAATGCCGCTCCACAGTCGAGGCTGGTGTGAACCGCAGAGAGTACACAAATGGAATTCTGAGCTTGAGAGCAATTAGGTCTCCACAGAAAGCCACTGGATCAGACAGAACCACATCATACCTGCCCCTCTACAGCCGAGACATCAAATCCTGGTTGGCTAACACACCATCACAGGCCAGTCTATTTCCCTCATTTAGTTTGCTGGCCAATTTTCCCAGTTCCTTGTAGAACTTCCAGAAGGTCAGTGCTGTTGGCTTATTATACAGCCACAAGTTCACCATGTCTTTGATCAAGGAGTCAATGTATTTCTTCCCAAGAGGCACAGGGAACACCTCAAACTTCTCTGCTGTCTCACCGTGCGGTGTGATGATGAGAGAAGCGTTTGACACTAGGATGGTGACATTGTGCTCTCGGCGTATCAGTTCCTGTATAACAATCTTAATATTTAGCCAATGGCTGCCGTCTGAAGGCCAAATCAGCACATTCCCACAGAAGACTGTTCCTAGCAGGGTGAGCTGAAGGGCTAGAAATTGGATGTGCTTCTTTGACACACGGATTCCGGTTGTGGTGGAAGCCATGGTTGGTTGGCTGCCTAGATAGAAATAGATTTCTAACTCTCAGTCAGGGGCTTTCAGTCTCTCTCAGTGATGTGGAATAGCCACTTGCCCAGTGCTCCTAACAACAAACACACCTGCTCCAGAAGAGTAGATTTTCCAAACCTATTGTTGCGACAGATACACCTGCAACACAAGAACAGATAAGGGCTCTGGATTAGTAAGACAGAAAAGGTTCCAATATTTCTTCCTTGTTTAACTCTTTCTTTCCATTTGTGGGGGGGGGGGGTTTAATCATTAGTTAAAAAATGGAAAAAGGAAAAAGAGGGCTAGAAGAAAGCTGAACCATTAGTGAAGTCTTCAAAGGTAGGGTTTCATGAACCTTCTGTGGATCCTTCTGCATAGGGGTGAATTTAACCATTTTCCTTTATCTGCGGTAGTGCCAGATAGTAACATTCCTCATGGAAATGAGATTGAGTACGCAACGTCTCACTATGCTCCCAAATGGGTTGATTTTTTAAGTATGATGATACGCCTCCTGCTAATTTTCCCCACGTGCGGTCACTGGAGAGCATATCATCATGTCTGGACTTTGAAAGTTAACTTTTTCAACTGGAACACAATTGGTACTTATTTGCGCTTTTGTAAAGGCCACTGGGTGTCTATCTCCATCTCTGAGTGACTGAAATCCTTGAAATCTATGGCTCAGAGGCCTTGAAAGTGACTTTGGAATGTGTGTTAGTCACAGAAAAGGGTTATATGTTATTTATTCATTTGTTTTGGGGGTTTTTTCCTCATGGTTGAGGAGAGACTTACAAAAGCCACGGACAAGGAGGGGGGCAGGCAGGGGCAGGTCCGTGTCCCTGGAAGGGGAGGAGTCTCAGGTGGAAGAGGCGGAGTTAGGGCCTAAACTCCCCATACAGCTCTTCATATCCTCCCTGAGACTGCTGCCCTGGGGCTCCAGGGGCAATTTAATGGGCCTGGAGTTCTGGTCACTATTATCACTATGGTAGCAGCAATGGTGATCAAAAGCCCTGTGCCCTTGTAAATCACTGGTCCCCCACGCTACTGCCCCTTTGTCTCCTTCCTGCCATCGTGGCACTGATGTTATTTATTATATCAACTTTAGCTTTAATTTAGCACAGTTTTTACTTTAGATCTAAAAGGGGGAAGAGAATAAATATTTACTTAAAGATGGGGTGACACGTGTTCATCTGCATGTGTAATGATTCTGGTTTTTACTACCCTACCAGTTTGCCCAGTACTGAAGTTAGGCTTACTGGCATGGAATTGCCAACATTGATTCTGTGTTTCTTTTTTTTCCAAAAAGACGTGTCATATTAACTCTCCTTCCATCATCTAGTACAGAGGCTATTTAACAGTATTTTCTGACTGTCTTGCCCTTCTGAGCCTCAACAGAAACCTGTGAATATTGGTCACTCAATACCCATCCAGCATAGCTCAAAATTCGTAAAGGGCAACTTTGGAGATATGGGCACTGCAAAGTCAAACCCACATTTCCTAGCTAGGTACCTAAATAATTATCCTACGAAGCTTTCTCTGAGTCTGCTAGAAGTTGTGAATTCCCAACCCTTCTGAAAATCAGGCCAGTTATTTAGGTACCTAAATGTGAATGTAGAAGCCTAACTTGATAGCCCCAATTTTGAAAATGTGGGCCTTTCACATTCAGACTTTTTAAACTCCCAAATTCACGAGTGTAACAGAAATTAAGGCAGTGTCTTGGAACATCCCAGTATATCCCAAGACAAAATAATTTACCATCATAATAAGAATTCACACTTAGTTCTTATAAACAGCAAGTCATCTTTCAAGGGGAGGCAAGTAGAGGTCACCTAAATAGTCCAATGCAATACACCACCTGCTTTCTAACAACTCTTCTGCCATGGTCTGATTTTCCGCTTACTAATTTTACCATTATTCAGTGGCTAGTCTGAAATACCTCCCACTGTGGACACACTGTCCTCTAATAAATGTCACTGTTTTCTAGAATAATCAGTGAACTCACAAAATGCCCTAATAATTCCAGAGAAATATGATTTTTAGTCCAGAATACACTGCCCAAACTGGGAGCTAGTCTGGTCATTTTCTCCATGAAAACAAGCCCTAAGAATTGACGTATGCATATATATCAGAAGGCAGGTTTCTTGGACCCCAATCCTGCAACTGGTTCCTGTGAGGCAGATTCCTGCTTTGGAGGCTATCAGCACAAATGCAGTTGCAAGGTGGGGGCTTTGGTTTGCCTGTCAATATCTCAACAAGATGATCCTGTGAGAAGTCGATATAAAATATCACCACACAAACAAAATATGGAACTGCCCTGCAGAAAAAAATTATGCAAAACTCTCTTACCTAATGGAATTTCCTGATAGATATTTAAACTAGTTACTGGTTTTTCTTCACTAGAAAGTCATTTGCTACCACAACACATTATATAAACAATTGCACATGCTGTCCCATTGCTACTCACCTCATCTTTCCCTTAGAAGTGCTGGCAGCATTGGACACATATAAAAGGAGTTTAAGTACACTTACCCTGAAGAGAACTCTGAAACCATAAGGGAGGAATGCAGTGAAAAGTTATCTTGATCTTCTACAAGAATTATTTTGTGCCATCTATTTTCACTCGGTCATGCTCCAGTTACTAAATAATAAAGATTAACTTCAGATCTTTTACACAGTTTGAGAAACCATAATTGGCCAATAGAGAGCCAGATTTTCAAGCACTGTCAGTGAGTGATGGGCTGGATTATATAAATCCCTCTAGGGGTTATCCTTTCATGTGCTGATGAAGCCACTGATACTGTCTTCCTGCCCTGTGGTCGAAAGCTGGGCCAGAAACTCTAGTCTCCTCCAGCCAAAGCACAAAGTTGGGGTTACCCCCTCCCCCTGCAGAGCAAACTGAACTAGCTCAACTCTGGTTCAGCTATAAGGGCTCAGCATCCAGGAACACAGACCCCAAAAAGGATCAAAATGTCAAATAAACCCATCTTACCCCATGTAAAAGTTTTACAGAGAGAAAGCCTGTAAATCTGCCTCCTTTATCAATGAAAGAGAGATATGCACATTGGTGGCTCCTCTTCCCTTCCCCTCCCTCCCCCACTTAATTATTTTCTCTGGGCTTGATAATAAACACAAGTTTTCTATTAAGTATAAAAAGTAGGATTTAAAGTGGTTACAAATGAAAACAGAACAAGTTATTAAATTAAAATAAACAAAAGAACATCAGCTAATCCTAATCCTCCGAGAAACTTGTTACCCTAAAGAGGTGTTCTAAAGAATCTCTTTCACAAGCTAAGCAGCCTCCTTGTTTGGTTCTGATCCTTCCCCCTGTTCATTCTTGGATATTTCCAGCAGGCATCTTAAGGGGTAAGTGGAGAGGGGGGAGTCTCCTTGTGGCGCCCCCAGGGCTGGCCTTACCAGGAGGCGAACTGAGGCGGCCTCCTCAGGTGCCAGACTGTGTGTGGGGAAGGGGAGCTCTAGGACCCAGAGTGTAGAAAACTGTGTCTTCTGCTGGTGCATATGTATTCTCTCTGCTCTAGATGTACAGAGATGGTGGAGTGCTGTGCTGGAGGAAGGAGGGCACAAGAGACATAACAGACAGGCAGGAAAAAGGTGGCATGGGGGCATCATTTGAGCTCCCCACCTCTGGTGCCAAAATGTTGTGGGTCGGCCCTGGGCGCTCCACCTATACGTCCCTTTTTCCCCATTCAAACTTTTCTCACCTTGAACAGAAAAGTACAAGATCCAAAATGGGTTTCAGCATCAGATATGCCTGCGCATTTTGCAATTATACCTTTATTTGTGGTGTCAACAAATCCTTAGATGCACAAGTCCAGTGAAAGTCAACAGAAGTAGTACCTTTAAATCTTTCGGGTGCTTTTTGAAAACCTTCTTCTTAATAAATAGCTCTAGGTGAAATTAAAGCCTATTCTAATGGAGGCCAAATGCTTTTCTACTCCAGTATTCTCAATCATCACTTTCCAAAGATGATAATTAGATTGTCAGTAATGCAAACAGTAGAAAAAAAGCTTTTAGATTAACAGGCAAAGAATTTTTTTAAGGTTGGTGTCACAAGCACGAGATAAGTAATCTGAAAATTGCAGGTGTTATGCTTCAGACCTGTTCCACAGTTCTAGCATTACAAATCTCAAACGCCATAGTATTGAACTCAGCTGCCCTCCAGCCGTGAAATGTTTACAAGTAAAGAGATGCTCCCTTCTCACCTGCAACCCCCAGGAATTTAAACCCATTTCCTGTGTCCATGACACACTGCATGGTGGCCCTCATGGCAACTTCTCTAGACCCAAACTCTCTCCTGCTAGGAGCAATGCAGAGCTTTTAGAGTTAATCAATGGATGGGGAGAAGATTCGGTGCTATCAGAGCTGCAAGTGCCCCATAACTGGGGATCAGAATCTGAATCAGGCTCTGATGAATCTGTATAAGAATCCAATTCCTAATCAGAATCTCACGAGTCATCATTGTTGCCCACTGATAGGTCCATAATTAGCAATGCCACAATCATAGAACACTAGGACTGGAAGGGCCCTCGAGAGGTCATCGAGTCCAGTCTCCTGCCCTCATGGCAGGACCAAGTACTGTCTAGACCATCCCTTGTAGACATTTATCTAACCTCCTCTTAAATATCTCCAGGGATGGGGATTCCACAACCTCCCTGGGCAATTTATTCCAGTGTTTGACCACCCTGACAGTTAGGAACTTTTTCCTAATGTCCAACCTAAACCTCCCTTGCTGCAGTTTAATCCCATTGCTTCTTGTTCTATCCTCAGAGGCCAAGATGAACAAGTTTTCTCCCTCTTCCTTATGACACCCTTTTAGATACCTGAAAACTGCTATCATGTCCCCCCTCAATCTTCTCTTTTCCAAACTAAACAAACCCAATTCTTTCAGCCTTCCTTCATAGGTCATGTTCTCTAGACCTTTAATCATTCTTGTTGCTCTTCTTTGGACCCTCTCCAATTTCTCCACATCCTTCTTGAAATGCGGTGCCCAGAACTGGACACAATACTCCAACTGAGGCCTAACCAGCGCAGAGTAGAGTGGAAGAATGCATGATGTCTTCTGCACTGTAGTCACGATAAGGGATCCATGTTTTTTTGCCACAATTGCGCGAGTTCCCATGAAATTTGGAAACCTCCAGGGATGTCTGGGAAGAAAACAGATGGCTGTTGGGACACTTTTCATGTGTCCATCATGCCGAGCGCTCTGTGGCGCATTCCCACAGAGCTTAGCAAGTGAAGGTGACACAATGCACTATGGGATGCATGCCCACAATTCTTTGCTTTTTCTGTGAATGAGAGAGGTGGCATATGTGGCCACAAGTTGTCCACAGCGGTTAGCAGAAAAAACAGTTTGGCAGGTTTTCAGTTTTGGAAATTCCTGCCAGTCAACAGCACTTTCATCACCAAATCTTGCAAGTGTAAATATAGCCTATGTCATGCAAAAGTTACAAAATTCAGAGTTACGGTTCCCATGCTACCTATAGGACTTAAGCACGTGCTAAAATGTAAGTGCTTTGATGAATCATGACCTAGGTGTACATGACATTTCTATTCTATTTCCAAATCATTTCTGAGCCATTCAAAGCCAAGAACATTCTGAACTTTGGCTGGAAAACAATGTTTCTTTATATTTAGCTAACTCCAAACAACCCTGCAGCTTTAATTATTCTGAAAAATCAACTTCTGAACTGAAGGCTACCATTAGGAATCTAAGCCCAGAAGCTCATTTTGTTTGGGTAAGTGATTAGACTATTAACAGAGATCTATAATTTAAATCTCAATTCATTCCTAACTAGAGATGCTAGTTACAGTGCAATCATACAGACTTAACATCAAACTGAAATATTAACAATGGCACATGTGTAAGTGTTCAGGAAACCACATGCTTATGATTTTATTATGGCAAAAATAGTATCCATTGTGAATTTGTCCAAATTGCAACAACTGATGGCCAGTCACTGATAGAGCAGAACTGGTACAAACCCATAGTACAGAAAAAGAAAGCTGCAATTTGTACTGATAGAGCTTTGACTGGATTATAGTATGAAACCTCATATTAGCACGAGGTCCCAAATTTTACTAGAACGTGGTAAAGTAACAGTTTTGTATGTGAATTATAGCAATGTGCATTCTAGCAAAATGAAAATTAGCAAGGGTGAGGACAAAACCAAACCTGGAGTTTACCATGCCAAACAACTCCTAACCATAACAGAGTTTATGAAGTGAGGAAGTAAGAAATTATGGGCCTAATCTGCAGCTGCCATATATCTGCTCAAGTCCAATTACTTAGACTTTAAGGTCAGAAGGGACCATTATGATAATCTAGTCTGACCCCCTGCACAGTGCAGGCCACAAAATCTCACCCACCCCTCCTAGAATAATCCTCTCACCTATATCTCAGATATTGAAGCCTTCAAATACTTTGAAGACCCCAAGATGCAGAGAATCCTCCAGCTGTGATCTGTACCCCATGCTACAGAGGAAGGCGAAAAACCTCCAGGGCCTCTGCCAATCTACCCTGGAGGAAAATTCCTTCCCGACCCCAAATATGGCGATCAGCTAAACCCTGAGCATGTGGGCAAGACTCATCAGTGAACCTATGCTGATACAGGTTGAACCTGACCAGAGCTGAACCAGATAATTGGCTGAACCATGGGAGGTAAATATTGTAGCGAGTAGGTCTCTATTTTTATTTCACTGAGACGAATAATTGGAACAGCACTTGCAGTGCTACCTTAATAATGTACGACTGTACTGATACTCCCCATATAAGCCAAAGTTCATTGGCTCTCTTCATAACAAAGTGTTAGTGTCGTTACACAATTGTACTGTATCAGCACAAGAAAATAAATAGATAAAGCATAAAAAATACACTTAGGCTTAGCAGCATTACCAGCTCTTCCACTGCTTGCTGGGCTCTTAGAAGACTTTTAGGGGTAATTTAGAGCTAATTAACTGCACAGAACAACAAAGAACACTGAGAGCCGGGACTGGTGGCTGTAAACAACTTTTTCAGGACCACGGGAAACTTGGCCACACCCATGATAAGTGGACATCTGGCTAATTAAAATCATGCTGGACCATGGAAGTTGCCAGACCAGAGCGATTCAACCTATATACACTAATTAGGGGCATGGCCCTGTGCCTTCACACAGTGTGAAAATCTCACAGGGTAAATTTTGTTATTTTACAAGGTTTTATTTGTTTAAATTCAAGATTTTACTAGTTCTTTTTATTGGCATTCCGGCGTCGTGGGGTCATCTTTACATGTAAGTGCACAGATATCGGTGTTGCTCGTGTTGGAGTTTTTGCTAATCTGCAACAAAAAAAGAAACAATAAAGGAAAGGCTTTAACTATTCATGCCTTGTGACAATAGACTCATTGTCAATCCTTAAGTCATGTCACCTTATTTTTTGTCTGGGATTACTATCAAATCCAGCAACTGAGAATCCTTCAACAAATAGGAACAACCAATACTTGCCAAAATTAATGAGACTGGAGCATTCAAATCCTTTAGGTTGCTTTGAAAACCTCACTTTGTATAAATTAACACATCTATAAATACTGATGATAGCTTTGGGCAAATTCTAATGTTTGTTTATTTTTGCTTCTTCAAAACCTTGTTCCTCGGGATTTTGCTCTAGGAATAGCGGTGGTTTAGATAGGAGACTTTCCCATCCACATCCCCATAGTTTCAGGGTATACTAAATAAATGCTTCTGCCTCTGACCCATCACTAGCTGACAAATACCTCAAACTACCAATCAGGGTTCAAACTGACTAATTTTGATTAGGGATGAGAGAGAGATAAGACACTGGTAAGACCACTCTCTAGCAGGAAATGCTGGTTATTTGCAGCAACTGGAATAATTAGAAAGGGAAAAGGAAGTATACTCCACATGCAAATAAATCACAATAATAAGAATTCTTTAGTAGATATATTTAGTGCTTTTCATCTTGAAAGCGCTTAATTTTAACCAATCCAATAAATGTATTTATTTTATAATAAAAAATAAATATACACCAAGTGCCTAAAGAGGATGAGCAAAATAGTAACACACACACAATTAATCAACATGTTGGCTGTATTTAAGTCAACTCAACCCACTCTTTGGTTAAAATTCAGTCTATCTGAACATACAAAAGGGCTATGCACTGAATGCTACAACGAACTCTTTCAGACAGCTGGGAAATACCCCCAAATCATCCCATTACCAGTCTCCAGATATCTAGATCTTTGAGCACGTACAGAAGGGAGTAATAAATACGCTTTAGGAGGGGATTTTGCCTCTGTATATAGCATTGGTGAGACCAATATAGGAATACTGCATCTATGGTCACATCCATATTTTAAAAAAGATGTTGAAAAATTGAAGGTACCAAAAAGTGCCACAAAATAATATGAGGGCTGATGAAAATGCCTTGCAATGAGAGACTTACAGAGATGCTTAGTTATCAAAAGGAAGCTAGAGAGAGGATTTGATTACAGTATGTAAGAATCTCCACAAGGAGAAAATAACAGGTACTAAAGGTTTCTTTAATCAGAAGAGAAAGACATTATAAGAACTAATGGTAGGGAGGAAGCTGAAGCCAAAAGACAATTTTTTTTAACAAGGAGGGTGATTAGAACAAACTATCAAGGGAAGTGGTGAATTATCCATTTCTTAATGTCTCCCAATCAACACTGAGGCTCCATCAGCATTGCAACTAAAAGTCAACGTAAGCTACGCAACTCCAGCTACTTGAATAACATAGCTGGAGTCAACATACTTTAAGTTGAGTTACTGTGGGCTCTATATCATGATGGGAAAAACTCTTCTGTCACTTCCCTTACGCGTCTCATCTAGGGTAGAGTAACAGGGATGCTAGGAGAATTAGACCCACTAAGGGCGTGCCTAAATTGCAGGGCTTAACTCAAAATAAGCTATGCAAATTGAGCTATGTCAATTGTGTATCTTATTTTGTCTACACAGCACTTATTTTGAAATAGAGCACTCTTCCTCCGACTTCCCTTATTCCTCATACAATGAGGGTTACAGGAGTTGGAGCAAGAAGTCCTCCAGCTTGATGGTATTTTGACACTATTTCGAAATACCTGCCTCCTGTGTATACGCAGACTAAGTTATTTTGGAATAGCGCTAGTTATTTCAAAATAGTGTTGCAGTGTAGATGTACCCTTAATCAACCATCAGTGGATTGATCTCAAAGCGCCAATCTGGGCTGTAGTGTCGAGGGTATCCTGGGTGTCTTTCTGGAAGAGGTGCTTTAACCAAACACAAGTTATTGTGCTAAGCACAGGAATAACTGGACGACATGTAATGGCCTAGGCTATACAGAAGGTCTGATTCAATGATCAAATGGCCTATTAGCCTCAAATCTTCTGAATCTATAGATATAAAGAATGTACTGGTACAAAAAGCTACAAGGTTTTCTAAATAGGTGGCTAAATGACTTCACAGCTAACTTTCAACCAAATCCTTTCAAATCTATGCAAAGCCTGACAGTGTATTAGCTTTCTATAATGTTGGTCTTGAAAAAAAGATATATGATGCTCAGCCCTACAATCAGGAAAGTATGGCAGAAGTAGCTTTCTCTACTTACTTCTTTGATGATGTACGCTCAGTGGCCTTCTTAGCTACCCCAGTGGCTTTGGGGGGCAAAGTCTTGCTCTTTGTAACTGGGAGTTCATGATACGAAGTTTGCACCTGGGTCTCGGTACATAAACGGGACGAACGCCACTTCTTCCCCACAGGTATTTCAACATACGAGGTCTGCACCTGGGCCTCGACATATTCAGAGGGCGGATGCTTCACCTCCACTTCCTCCTTCAGTGTCCGCTCATCTACTATTTTAACATCTGGGGGAGACAGTGGGACCGCTTTTGCTTTTGTTATTTCAACTCTGGAAGTTTGTATCTTGGCCTGTTTTGGGGATGGGGAAGGAGATTTCTCTTTTGCCTCTGGCAATTCAAGCTTAGAGGTTTGCACTTGGGCCTCAACTTTCAGTCGTGACGAACGCCACTTATTCCCTGCTGGTATGTCCACATACGAAGTTTGCGTCTGGGCCGCCATCAGAGTTAGGGGGAGGGGCCTCTCTTTGATTGGAGTAGCAGGCATCTCATCCTCCACCTCTGGTGCTTCAAAATATGAAGACTGCATGTGAACTTCAGTTTGTGATGGGACAGGAAATGCCGTCTCTGCTTCTGTTACTGCAAGTTTGGAAGTTTGCACCTGGGCCTCAGTTAGTGACGGGGGAAGAGGCACCTGCTCTGGTCCTGTTACTTCTAGTTTGGATGTCTGCACCTGGACATTGGTTACCGATGGGGAAGAAAGCTTCTTCAGTAACTCAATACTTGAGGTCTGCACCTGGGCCTCAGCTTGTAACCGTGATGAACGCCACTTACTCCCTGCTGGTAGATCAACATATGAGGTTTGCACTGCAGCTTCCGCTACAGTTATGGTGAGAGGGGTTTCTTCTTTTGGGAATGGGGCCGCCTCCTCCTCTACTTCTGTTATTGCAAGTTTGGAGGTTTGCACCTGGGCTTCAGTTAGTGAGGGGGAAAGAGGCACCTGCTCTGCTTCTGCTAATGCAAGTTTGGACGTTTGCACTTGGGCCTCGGTTAGTGAGGGGAGACGAGGCACCTCCTCCGCTCCTGTTACTTCTAGTTTAGATGTTTGCACCTGGACCTCGGTTAGCGATAGGGAAGAAAGCTTCTTCAGTAGCTCAATCCTTGAGGTCTGCACCTGGGCCTCAACTTGCAGCCGTGATGAACGCCACTTATTCCCTGCTGGTAGATCGACATATGAGGTTTGCACTGCAGCTTCCGCTACAGTTACGGGGAGAGAGACTTCTTCTATTGGGAATGGGACCTCCTCCTCCTCTACTTCTGTTACGGCAAGTTCGGAGGTTTGCACCTGGGCCTCAGTTAGTGAGGGGAGACGAGGCACCTCCTCCGCTCCTGTTACTTCTAGTTTCGACGTTTGCACTTGGACCTCGGTTAGTGAGGGGAGACGAGGCACCTCCTCTGCTCCTGTTACTTCCAGTTTGGACGTTTGCACGTGGACCTCAGTTACCGATGGGGAAGAAAGCTTCTTCAGTAGCTCAATCCTTGAGGTCTGCACCTGGGCCTCAGCTTGTAGCCGTGATGAACGCCACTTATTCCCTGCTGGTATATCGATGTACGAGGTTTGCACTGCAGCTTCCGCTACAGTTACGGGGAGAGAGTCTTCTTCTATTGGGAATGTGGCCTCCTCCTCCTCCTCTGCTTCTACTAATGCAAGTTCGGAGGTTTGCACCTGGGCCTCAGTTAGTGAGGGGGAAAGAGGCACCGGCTCTGCTTCTGCTAATGCAAGTTTGGAGGTTTGCACTTGGGCCTTGGTTAGCGATAGGGAAGAAAGCTTCTGCAGTAGCTCAATCCTTGAGGTCTGTACCTGGGCCTCAGCTTGTAGCCGTGATGAACGCCACTTATTCCCTGCTGGTATATCGACATATGAGGTTTGCACTGCAGCTTCTGCTACAGTCACAGGGAGAGAGACTTCTTCTATTGGGCATGGGGCCGCCTCCTCTTCTACTTCTACTAACACAAGTTTGGAGGTTTGCACTTGGGCATCAGTTAGTGAAGGGGAAAGAGGTACTCCCTCGGCTCCTGTTACTTCTAGTTTCGAGGTTTGCACCTGGGCCTCGGCTACTGAAGCAGAAAGAGGCACTTGTTCTGTTACTGCAAGGTCTGATTTTTGAACCTGAGCCTTGGTTAGCAATGTAGAAGAAAGCTTTTTCAGTAACTCAATACTTGAGGTCTGTACCTGGGCCTCAACTTGTAACCGTGACGAACGCCAATTATTCCCTGCTGGAATGTCTACATATGAGGTTTGCACTGCAGCTTCGCTTTGGGTTGTAGGGACAGGCTGTTCTTCTATCACGGAGGGCACCGCCTCCTCCACTTCTGTTAATTCAAGTGCTGAAGTTTGCACCTGGGCCTCAGCTTGTGAGGGCACTTCTTCTGTTTCATCTACTGAGAGTTTGGAAGTTTGCACCTGGGCTTCTTTTTGTGAGAGAGAAGAAAGTGTCTTCAACAATTCATGATCTGAGGTTTGCACTTGAGCGTCTGCTTGGAGTCGTGCAGAACGCCACTTATTCCCTGCTGGTATGTCTACGTATGAGGTTTGCACTTCAACTTCAACAAATAATGGGAATAAATTCTTCACCTGAATGTCTTGAAAGTCAAGATCTGAGGGCTGCTCCAGGGGCTCACTTTCTATGGGGAATAAAATCTCTGTATCTAGTACTTCAATACGTGAAGTTTGCACCTGGGCGTCCGTTAGTGATGGCAATGAAGTCTCCTCCTCTGATGTTTCAAGATCTGAGGTTTGCACCTGGACCTCACTTTCAAATGGGAGGAAAGTTTCTTCTGTTAGTTCAATATCTGAGGTTTGCACCTGAGCTTCTGTTTGTAATCGTGACCAACGCCACTTCTCTCCAGGTGGTATTTCAACGTAGGAGGTTTGCACCTGGACCTCAGTGTAGAATGGCCCATCTGTAATTTGCTGTAGAAGACAAAAACCAAACCACATATAAACATGGCCATCTACCTTTTCAAAGCAAAAGAGAAGCTCCAGAGGTAAAAAGTCCTCCAGCCCTGTTGGCTTGGCATAGTGACCCACACATGCCAACAAAATAAAGACTAGGCAAAGAGACCTACAGGCAGGTGGTACAGCAACATGGCACAAGGTAGGGCCCCTATCCATTGCTGGAGCAATAAGAATTAGGTGGAGGCTATGATCATTATTTGGGCAAAAGACAGACATCAGCATCTGAGCAGCTCATCTTGGATGTCTACACTAGGAAATTACTTTGAAATAACTAAATTTGAAACAACTCTCAAAATAACAAAATTGAAATAGCATGTCCCCAGTATGGGGGAGTCTCGAAATTAGTCTGAAGCAGGCTCCGTTATTGTGGATGCGCTACCTCCACTTCGAGCCCCAAGAAGCCCTGGGGAGTAATTACTTGTAATTACTCTGGGAAGTCGTTATTTTGAAATAGCAGCAACGGAATGTCCACACTAACATTATTTCGAAATAACTATTTTGAAATAACCATTATTCCTTGAGGAAAGCAGGAGCACAGATTTTGAAATAACCAGCCCATTATTAGGAAAAATAACGGGTAGCAAAGATCTGGAATAGTCTTCCAAAGGAGGTTGTAGAATCCCCCTCATTGAAGGTTTTTAAGAACGAGTTGGACAAACACCTATCAGGGATAGTCTAGGTTTACTAGGTCCTGCCTCAGCTACGGGGCTGGTCGCTATGACCTTCTCAAGTATATGATTTCTATGATATTATAACCCAAAGGCACTTCAGATTATGTCTATGTTTATCACACTGAATTTAGCTGATGGGCTGTAGGGAATCATCAAACACTAGAACTGGAAGGGACTCGAGAGGTAATCCCAGTACCATCTACAGCATCCCTGATAGAGGTCTATCTAACCTGCTATTAAATATCTCCAGTGATGGAGATTCCACAACCTCCCTAGGCAACTTACTAATATGCAACTTATTAATAACTTATTAACATGCTGCTCAAAGTGCACTCAACCCATGGGATTAAATATATATGTGTGGTCCATTATTTACTTAAAAGGACATGTGTAATTAAAGCTATCACTCACCAGTGTGTCTGCTCATGCAAATATTTACCTGTTTTATTTCTTCTGCCTCCTCAGGAAGGTCCTCTGGCTCAGCATTGCTTATATTTATACTGCAGTACAGGATGGGACAGAGAGATTCAGACCCTGTTACTCTCTCAGCAATGGTGCATTTAATTAATACAATAAATTAATACACAGCAATCATAATACACAACAGAGAAAAATCTTTAAAATAAGGAGGACATGACCCCAAACAGATTCTAACACTTTTGGGGTGACAAAGCAAAATGTCTTTCCCTCCAAGTTTGTCACAGGGAAGGATGCTACTTGTTGAGGTGTGCTTTCTCCCTTGCCACCGCTTACGTGTAGGAAAACCTCCCCATACTAATTTATGAAGTGGTTTCCTTATTATCTTTCAGTCCCTCCTCAAAACCTGCCTTTGCTATAACACCTGTAAATCTCTCCTGTTGGCAACCAGCAAGCAGAGACTTAAGCTTTCGTACTAACCTCCCTTCCTTTTATTGTTACTTCATCTTCCAAACTTCAACCCCAAACCTTTTCTTCAAGGCATGTTGATTTTATCCACCTAGCACGTCTTTTCACATGTGAAATCCTGCCTTCTCCCCTCACACTGACATTAATGGAGGTTTTGCCATTGACTTAAATAGGTCCAAAAATTCACCCCTAGATTATTGTATACTCACTAGACCAGAGCCTGGCGATTTTGCAACTCTTCCCTATCCTATAAACAACCAAACACACATTTTCCTTTCTAAATTTCCATCTTTAATAACCAAGGTCTGAACATGCTTTATGAGCTGGAATCTCTCATCTGGCTCACCTTTGCTGAACAGACGGCCAGAGGTGAGGGCAAAATTGTTTCAAACCCTCTTTGCAGCTAACTCTAAAATCATAAGAGCCCACAATAAAGTAGAGCAACCTCAAGGATGTTCTACTTCACACTCGGCTGCCTATTGTTTAGCCAGGCCATCTCCCCAACTGGTGGAGAGCTGGTGGAGAAGTATTAAGCCAGTCCCCCGCCTCTGATGCAGGGTTCATGTCAGGGCAGGGGGCGCAAAGGAGCTGGAGCCAGAACATAATGCGCTCCAGCTATTCTCTGCTTGGCAGAGCCTATGAGGGCTATGGGAAACAGAGTCCAGGCTATCAGCAGTTCTCACACTGGGGATCAGGTGGACCAGAACATGGGTCCTTGTTCTAACCCCATTTTACTGGGGCTGCCAGGGCCAGAATTAGACTTGCTGAGATCTGGAACTGAAGACTGATTTTCATCCCCATTGGGGGCAGCAGAGCTCAGGCGCTGGCCCCCTCTCTTCACACTGGGGCGGCAGAGCTTGACCTCCAGCCCCCTTCTCCTCGCACAGGGGCAGCAGAGCTCAGGGGCCGGCCCCCTCCCCTCACACAGGGGGAGCAGAGTTCGGGGGCCGGCCCCTTTCCTCACACTGGGGCGGCAGAGCTTGACCTCCAGCCCCCTTCTCCTCGCACAGGGGCAGCAGAGCTCAGGGGCCGGCCCCCTCCCCTCACACCGGGGCAGCAGAGTTCGGGGGCCGGCCCCTTTCCTCACACTGGGGCGGCAGAGCTTGACCTCCAGCCCCCTTCTCCTCGCACAGGGGCAGCAGAGCTCAGGGGCCGGCCCCCTCCCCTCACACCGGGGCAGCAGAGCTCGGGGGCCAGCCCCCTCCCCTCAAACCGGGGAGCAGCAGAGTTCGGGGGCCGGCCCCTTTCCTCACACTGGGGCGGCAGAGCTTGACCTCCAGCCCCCTTCTCCTCACACCGGGGGCGGCAGAGCTCAGGCGCTGGTCCCCTTTCCTCACATCGGGGGGCAGCAGAGATCGGGGGCCAGCCCCCTCCCCTCACACCAAGGACAGCAGAGCTGGGGGCGGCCCCTTCCCCGGAGCAGCAGAGTTCGGGGGCCGGCCCCTTTCCTCACACTGGGGCGGCAGAGCTTGACCTCCAGCCCCCTTCTCCTCACACCGGGGGCGGCAGAGCTCAGGCGCTGGTCCCCTTTCCTCACATCGGGGGGCAGCAGAGATCGGGGGCCAGCCCCCTCCCCTCACACCAAGGACAGCAGAGCTGGGGGCGGCCCCTTCCCCTCACACCGGGGACAC